TACGGACATGACACCCGTTACCAACTCACACAAATGTAAGTGTTTTTATATCAAAATTCCAGCAAATCTTAATTATCTACTTATCTCCCCACAGATCTTCCTTGTTGTGACTTTTCCGATAATGAAAATTGTCGCAACACTTGCCGATCCGTCTTGAATACCACTGAAAGTACGGATATTATTATAGGAGAACTGGAGGCAGGAGGTTGTGGTACTGTATTACCTCATCTACCTTTATGGCAATGTTTCTTCACTGCCGAGCGCAAAATTTTTGTGCCCTCTGTTATAACAAGTAGCCAAGAGACCGAGGTATCACAAATTAATCGTTTAGGTATAGATGGTGCCAAATTGCAATGCTGTGAGAAGGCTTTATCATCCAAATGCCGTAAATTATGTTTTCAAACCTATACTACTGATTGGACTAGTACAATGAATAATTTTGAAACATCCTGTTTAATGATGATGCCAAATGAATTGGAATTGCGCCAGTGTATAGATGAGGTGGATGAACCGTGTGAATTGGGTTGTGATGGTTTAAGTTTTTGTACAAATTTCAATAATCGTCCCACGGAATTGTTTCGCAGCTGTACGGTGGAAGCCGACATGGCTGCTAAATCAGATTTAATGATGTGGCAACAGAGGGGTTTTGTAGTTTACCAGGAGGCTTAACCTTGCCCATTAAGAATATGACTAGATGTTTACCCGACAAGTGGAAGGCTATAGCTTGTGTTTTACAAATTAAACCCTGTAGTATACAGGGACATTATAATCATATTTGTAGGGAAAATTGTTATGAAATTTTAATGGAGTGCTTGGATTGGACACGTTTAAATACACTTACAATCCGGAAGCGATTTGTGCTAGATTGCATCCAGATGGTGATGTCACCTCCTGTGTATCGCTGAGACCTTATTTGGAAGAAAGTGATGCTCCTAAGGAGAGGTGGCCATCATAAAATCACCTCTCCTTGTCGTGGTCATCCCTGTAATGCTAGTGAAGTTTGTTTAGCAGCTCGCAATGGTTCGGCCACCTATAAATGTATACCGGGTTGTGCTTTGGGAGAGACTTCTAATTATTTAGTTCCTTTTGGTGCTTATGTTCGCATTCCAGTACAAATGACAGCCAATCGTGGTGGTTTTAAGGTTTGTCGTTGCGGTTTACAGGGACGTATCGAACATTGTCAACCTCTACCCAGTGTTTCGTATGAGAGTTGTGTTCTACCGGTGGTAGAAAGATCAAGCATGGCACTTCCTTTATTTGGAGTGCAATTTATGTACTTGTTATGCCGAGGAAATAACCTGCACCAAGAAACAATGTAAAATGCCAGGTGAGTAGAGCTTTAAAGGGAGGAAGCTATTTGAAGTAAACTTTAATTTATATTTACTCCTATTACAACAGGTTACACAGATGTTTCTTATACCAGTTTGCCCTGCAATTGTCCTACCCATTATGTGCCGGTATGTGGCAGCAATGGACGCACTTATCCTTCTTTGTGTATTGCCCGCTGTCTGGGTGTGCAGGACAGTGATTTAGAGTATGGAGCCTGTACGGTGTGGAATCCTTGTACACCAGGAACCTATCACTGCCCTGCAGGCACCCAATGTCTGCCTCATAGACAGATCTGCTTATCCAGCATGCATCGGCCCTGTTTACAGTACAAATGTGGTATGTAATGCTTAAAAATTATGGAACTTGTGGATGTTAATTTGAATTTCATTTGCAGTTAATCAAACGTTACCTTGTGGCAAATCGGAGCATTCGGTATGCGATGCTAAGGGTGTTACCTTTAAATCGGCTTGTGATTTATTGAATTCCAAGTCTAGTTTCTCCCATTGGGGTTCTTGTAATCGTGGCTGCAGTTGGAAAGGTCCCGTGTGCGGTATTAATGGTGTGGATTATCCCCATGAATGTGCTGCCTGGGCAGATTATGTTTTGGTGGACTATAAGGGCAGATGTCGTGAGGTAGGCTTGTTAACTAATGAAATGGAACGCAAAAGATGTCGCCAAGTCAAATGTTCCAATACTCCCTCACCCTACTGCCCTTCTATTATACCACCCGGAGCCTGTTGCCCCATATGCGCCGGAGCTTTTCGCATTATCTACTCACGCAAACAAATTGATCGCGCTCTTTACGCCTTAAAGGGCCACAAAGGATTTATTAACTCTACATAGTGTTTTACGAGAATTGGATTCTTTAATACAAATAAGCGAGTGTCAACTGACCGGATTCCTAACCATGGAAGTGGGTATATTTGTGGCTATTGTACCCCGCACCAATACCCCACTCGCATGCAAATTGAGGCCTGCAGCAGAGAAGCGGAAAAGATATCCACTTTAATAGCGGCCCAAGAACATAAAATAACCACAAATCTAATATTATCAGGCCTAACAGTATCCAATATGCTGGAGGCTAATGTTGAAAGTCATGCAAATAGAAGATTTTCTTTGAGAAATCTATCTAACGATATTGCTAAACATTATATAAGTTTGATATTTAGGAAAATTTGGATTTTATAGTTTTAGAAATGATAAGAATGAAAATTAGATAGTTTATGAAGAAAATAAGAAAGTCATTAAAGACATTATGGTCTCGAATAGCACAGACTCATTAAGAAGAGACTTTAAAACAAATTTAAATTAAAGAAGGGAAGATAATTTAAGGGGTTTAAAGAAATTAGGCATTGCTTTACGCTTCCGTTTTAAATAAAGTCTATAGACAGTCATAGAATAGTCCAGGCCATAGTCTAGTCTATAATGTAGGCTACAGTCTAGTCTATAGTTTAGTCTATACTTCAGTTAATAGTCTAGATACGTAGTATATAGTCTAGCTATAGATCAGTATAGTCTAGCAATATTCTATATATCTAGTCTATAGTCTAGTCTAGTCCAGTCTATACTCTAGACTAGTCTAGTCTATATAGTCTATATCTAGTCTATTCTAGTCTATACTCTAGATAGTCTTCTAGTCCTAGTCTAGTCTAGTAGCTAGTATTTAGCTGTAGACTAGTCTATAGTCTAGTCTATACTCTAGTGTATAGTCTAGCTTTAGCCTAGTCTTTAGTCCAGTCTTTAGTCTAGTCTACAGTATAGTATATAGTCTAGACTATACAATGGTCCTATACTCTAGTCTATAGTTCAGAGTATAGTCTAGTCTTTAGCCTAGTTTTAGGCTAGTCTATAGTCTATTCTATAATCTAAAGTCTAATCTGTACACTACTCTATAGTCTAGTAAGCAAATTTAAGTAGGTATTGAACATTCAAACTACAGAAAGTAAAGACTACTTTTAGGCTTCCGTTTAAATAAATTTCGTTGCCTAATTTAGGCTCTTTAATCTTATTCCCCTTAAATAATTGTTTCCTAACAAATGTAAATTTCTTTTATGTTTTAACATAATAAAACCACATTATTTTATATATGATCAAGTGAATTCTTGGTGCCAATAAATTAGTTTTTATATAAAATTGAGATTATTTTTTTTTAATTTTTTTAATCTTAAGTTTTCCTTCTGTTTCAAATGCTCAAAACAATGTGCCTTTAATTAAATTGAGAAAAAATAATATTAATTTTAAACTCATTAGGTTTCGTAAGTCTGTTTTTTAAGTTAATTTAGCATTTTTGTTTTAAGTTAAATTTTTGTAATTTTAGTTTATTAACATTTAATTTTATTTTATAAAACGATCTCCTTGTGATATTAGCAACTAAATTAGGCCATATTTATAATACGTACATTTATAACAAATACAAAATATATACAAAACAACAACAAAAAACAACAATATCTTGTTTTATAGTTATAAACAATCTTAAGAGTCTATTTATAATTATTATTGGTATTTAAAATTATTATAAAATTCAAATTTGTAAAACTCAAACAAAAAAACTTATTTCAAATATTCTCTTTTGCTACTAAACCAACAACACAACAAATCTATGTAAATATTAAACGAATCTCTTTTATTTTTAATATTATTATTGTATACAAATTTTTTGAAAAGAAAAGATCAAAACATAAAATGAATATGAATCGCCAAAGTGTTTACCCCCCATTTAATTATCCCAAATATTAGCAATTAAACATACATAGTCATTAAGTACCTTGTGTAAAGTTTTTCTTTGAATTTTTTTTAAAAAATATTATATTTAAAATACGAGGAATGTTTTTTTCACATCAAATTCTAGAAAAAAAACTCAAAATTCATAAACAAATCGAAAGTATTTAATATCGAAGATCACTGATCACATTCAAAGCCTATTTTATAACTCTATTAAGAATTTCTTATATGAATTTTAGAAACTTTTTGGAGGCAATTTAATTGATTTGCACAGTTTTATTCCAGCTGTGCTTCAGTTCTAGTTTAGTCTAGTTCAGTTCTAGTCAGTTCTAGTTCAGTTCTAGTCAGTTCTAGTTCAGTTCTAGTTCAGTTCTAGTTCAGTTCTAGTTCAGTTCTAGTTCAGTTCTAGTTCAGTTCTAGTTCAGTTCTAGTTCAGTTCTAGTTCAGTTCTAGTTCAGTTCTAGTTCAGTTTAGTTCAGTTCTAGTCTAGTTCAGTTCTAGTTCAGTTCTAGTTCAGTTCTAGTTCAGTTCTAGTTCAGTTTCAGTTCAGTTCTAGTTCAGTTCTAGTTCAGTTCTAGTTCAGTTCTAGTCAGTCTATTCAGTTCTAGTCAGTTCAGTTCAGTTCTTTTCAGTTCTAGTTCAGTTCTAGTTCAGTTCTAGTTCAGTTCTAGTTCAGTTCTAGTTCAGTCTAGTTCAGTTCTAGTTCAGTTCTAGTTCAGTTCTAGTTCAGTTCTAGTTCAGTTCTAGTTCAGTTCTATCAGTTCTAGTTCAGTTCTAGTTCAGTTCTAGTTCAGTTCTAGTTCAGTTTCGTTCAGTTCTAGTTCAGTTCTAGTTCAGTTCTAGTTCAGTTCTAGTTCGTTCTAGTTCAGTTCTAGTTCAGTTCTAGTTCAGTTCTAGTTAGTTCTAGTTCAGTTCTAGTTCAGTTCTAGTTCAGTTCTAGTTCAGTTCTAGTTCAGTTCTAGTTCGTTCTAGTTCAGTTCTAGTTCAGTCTAGTTCAGTTCTAGTTCAGTTCTAGTTCAGTTCTAGTTCAGTTTAGTTCAGTTCTAGTTCAGTTCTAGTTCAGTTCTAGTTCAGTTCTAGTTCAGTTCTAGTTCAGTTCTAGTTCAGTTCTAGTTCAGTTCTAGTTCAGTTCTAGTTCAGTTTCTAGTTCAGTTAGTTCAGTTCTAGTCAGTTCTAGTTCAGTTCTAGTTCAGTTCTAGTTCAGTTCTAGTTCAGTTCTAGTTCAGTTCTAGTTCGTTCTAGTTCAGTTCTAGTTCAGTTCTAGTTCAGTTCTAGTTCAGTTCTAGTTCAGTTCTAGTTCAGTCTAGTTCAGTTCTAGTTCAGTTCTAGTTCAGTTCTAGTTCAGTTCTAGTTCAGTTCTAGTTCAGTTCTAGTTCAGTTCTAGTTCAGTTCTAGTTCAGTTCTAGTTCAGTTCTAGTTCAGTTCTAGTTCAGTTCTAGTTCAGTTCTAGTTCAGTTCTAGTTCAGTTCTAGTCAGTTCTAGTTCAGTTCTAGTTCAGTTCTAGTTCAGTTCTAGTTCAGTTCTAGTTCAGTTCTAGTTCAGTTCTAGTTCAGTTCTAGTTCAGTTCTAGTTCTTTTTCAGTTCTAGTTCAGTTCTAGTTCAGTTCTAGTTCAGTTCTAGTTCAGTTCTAGTTCAGTTCTAGTTCAGTTCTAGTTCAGTTCTAGTTCAGTTCTAGTTCAGTTCTAGTTCAGTTCTAGTTCAGTTCTAGTTCAGTTCAGTTCTCAGTTCAGTTCAGTTCTAGTTCAGTTCTAGTTCAGTTCTAGTTCAGTTCTAGTTCAGTTCTAGTTCAGTTCTAGTTCAGTTCTAGTTCAGTTCTAGTTCAGTTCTAGTTCAGTTCTAGTTCAGTTCTAGTTCAGTTCTAGTTCAGTTCTAGTTCAGTTCTAGTTCAGTTCTAGTTCAGTTCTAGTTCAGTTCTAGTAGTTCAGTTCTAGTTCAGTTCTAGTTCATTCTAGTTCAGTTCTAGTTCAGTTCTAGTTCAGTTCTAGTTCAGTTCTAGTTCAGTTCTAGTTCAGTTCTAGTTCAGTTCTAGTTCAGTTCTAGTTCAGTTCTAGTTCAGTTCTAGTTCAGTTCTAGTTCAGTTCTAGTTCAGTTCTAGTTCAGTTCTAGTTCAGTTCTAGTTCAGTTCTAGTTCAGTTCTAGTTCAGTTCTAGTTCAGTTCTAGTCAGTTCTAGTTCAGTTCTAGTTCAGTTCTAGTTCAGTTCTAGTTCAGTTCTAGTTCGTTCTAGTTCAGTTCTAGTCAGTTCTAGTTCAGTTCTAGTTCAGTTCTAGTTCAGTTCTAGTTCAGTTCTAGTTCAGTTCTAGTTCAGTTCTAGTTCAGTTCTAGTTCAGTTCTAGTTCAGTTCTATTCAGTTCTAATTCAGATCAGTATAGTTCAGTTCTAGTTTGTTCTAGTTCTGTTTGTTATTGATCTAGTTCTTTTATAGTCTAATCTATAGTCTAATATATTTCAGTCTATAGTCTAGTCTATAGTCTAGTATATAGTCAGTCTATAGACTAGAAGTCTAGTCTATGGTCTAGTCTATAGTCTAGTATATGTCTAGTCTATAGATAGTCTATAGTCTAGTCTATAGTCTAGTCTATAGTCTAGTCTATAGTATAGTCTATAGTCTAGTCTATAGTCTAGTCTATAGTCTAGTCTATAGTCTAGTCTATAGTCTAGTCTATAGTCTAGTCTATAGTCTAGTCTATAGTCTAGTCTATAGTCTAGTCTATAGTCTAGTCTAGTCTAGTCTATAGTCTAGTCTATAGCTAGTCTATAGTCTAGTCTATAGTAGAGTCTATTGTCTAGTCTATAGTCTTAGTCTAGTCTATTGTCTAGTCTATAGTCTAGTTCAAAATTAACAACCTGAACAAAAAGTCTAACCTTCATTTCTGAATAAATTTTGTAACACCCGTTACACTTACTCAAAAGTACCCGAATGTTTAGTGTCCAAAGAATGTACTTTACCAACATTTCGTACTAAACCAACACTACAACTTTAAGACCAGATGAAAAAACACATTTTTCGTACTCATTAAAAATTTATGCTTTAGTCAGCTTTCGTTGAAAACAAGTAGAAGAAGTTTTTTTTTACCGATGACAATGAGCTTTAGCTTTGTTTTGTAATTTGTTTTTATTGTTATTCATAACATCACAACAACAAGAACAACAGCAGCAAAACAATGATAAGTGCTGACCAAAAGGTAAACGAAAATAAATAAGAAAAGAGAATTTGCAAATTCTGAGTAAAACAAAAAACAACAATGATACTAATTTTGCGAATAACAAAATTGACGACGGCCGCATCAAGTTTTATAGTTCGGTTTGGTTGTGTTTGAAAATCAGTGGTTCTAAAAGCCAGTGAAGCCAATCTTAAACAAATATGTTTCTTAGAAACTTATTATGAGGGGATTCGGACGGTATAGTTTTTGACATCTACTACTGCAGTTGTTCTATTACAGTTCAGTTCTAGTTCAATTCTAGT